GGCTTCCAGCATGCATGTGTTTGGTTTCCATCCTGAGAGGGCTATGGAAAGGAGATTCCCCAGGCCAGGGCATGAGATCACAGAGAAATGGCACTCTATACCTGTGGAGGGCAGGCTCCACTGGTTGATCGCGCAGTCACGACTGCCGACATCCAGCCCTGGAGGAAATGACATAGCTTCCGCCATGTCCCTCCAGTATCTTCTATTGAGAAAACTAAACATTGTGCTCATTTTAAAGAAGAGCCTAAAGGGATTCAGTCAGCACATCTTGGAGGGTGCATTTGGACCTGAGAGGCAACGATGCAGTTATGTGGATTCTCATTCGGACCACAGCCCAGTGCTTCACCACCCTGTCCCTGCACAGTGTGAACATTAGTACTACTATCTATGCTTCCCACCTTCTCCTACAAGAGAAAGAAAGCTTAGAGTAGTGACCACCAAATCGCTTTTTTATTTGCTTGATCTTGAACAATTATAGATTCACAGGAAGCTGCAAAGATGTAGTGAGAAATCCAGTTAACTCCAATAATTATATTTTATAGTACATTATAAAAACAAGGAAATTGGCATTGGCAAAATGTGTGCATATGAGTGTGGTTATCTACCATTTATCACACATGTATATTCCTTTTACTGACACAGTTATCAAGATAGAGAACTTATCTACAAACTGCATAGACCTTTCTTGTGCTACCTCTCTATAGTCAAATCTACTCCACCCCTACATTCATAACCCCTAGTAACCTCTATTTTGTTCTACATAATTGTAATTTTGTCACTTCAATAATTTTATTCTTATATAAATTGAATCATATATTTGTCACCTTTTGAGATAACCTTCTTTAATTCAGCATAATGCCCTCACATCTATAGTTGGATAAGTTGGTTTTATCTATCACATACTCTCTTTTAATTTGTATGTTTCCACCTTTCAAATTTCATATAATAATTGAAATTTTAGGGCTTGAATCTACAATTTTAGTTTGTTTTCTCTTTGGTCCTTCTGTTTTATGTCTTTTTCTACCTTTTTTCATGCCTCCCTATGAGTCTTTTTTTTTTTAAAGATTTTATTTATTTATTTGAGAGGTAGAGTTACAAACAGTGAGAGGGAGAGACAGAGAGAAAGGTCTTCCTTTCACTGGTTCACTTCCTAAATGGCCACAATGGCCAGAGCTGCGCCAATCTGAAGCCAGGAATCAGGTGCTTCTCCCTGGTCTCTCACGTGGGTGCAAGGGCCCAAGGACTTGGGCCATTTTCCACTGCTTTCCCAGGCCACAGCAGAGAGATGGATTGGAAGAGGAGCAGCCGGGACTAGAACTGGCACCCATATGGGATGCAGACACCGCAGATGGAGGATTAATCCACTGCGCCAGGGCACCGGCCCCTCTCTATGAGTTTGGGGGGAGCTGGCATTGTGACATAGCAGGTGAAGCCACCACCTGTGATGCTGGTATCCCATATGAGGGTTGGTTCAAAGACTGGCTGCTCCATTTCCAATCTAGCTCCCTACTAAGGGCCTGGGGAAAGAAGTAAAAGATGACCCAAGTGTGTGGGTCCCTGCCACCCACATGGGAGACCCAGTTGAAACTCCTGACATTGGTCTGGTTAAGCCTTGACTGTTGTGGCCAGTTGAGTGGGGGGAAGGGTGAACCAGAAGATGAAAAACCTCTCTGTCTCTCCATCTGGCTCTGGAACTCTGACTTAGAAATAAATAAATAAATTAAAAAAAAAAACCCACATTTGATATATCTATAGTGTTTTTTCTAACATATCTCATATATTATTTTTCAGAGGTTTTCTTAAAGTACCACAGTATACACATAGCTTACATAGTCTCTTAGTATAAGAATGGTGACAGTCTGAGTGACATGTAAAACAAATATAAAGGTCTTGCTTCAACCAGCAAGCAAAATAGATATACTTCTAGAGGAGAAAGTCAGTATAGCGTATGTATCCATGACTTTGATCTTTCTGTTCTTTTCTCCTCCTTGGTGCTCCAAGGTTTTAAAAAATCTATTCTTTTTTATTTCAAAAATTTTCCTTGGCCTTTCTATTAGGATAGATTTGCTCACAACAATTTCTCTTAGTTTTTCTTTATCTGAGAATGCCTTCATTTTGGAAATACAATTTCACTGGACATAGAATCCAGGATTGGCAGTTATTCTCTTTCAATGTTTGAAAAATATTGTGCCACTTTTTTCCAGCTTCCACAGTGTCTGATGAGAAATTTGCTGTCACTCAAATTATTTTTCCTCTGTAGGCAAGGTGTCATCTTTTCCTCACTGCTTTCAAGACCTTTTTATTTTGATTTTGTATTCAAGAATTTGATATGATTTGTCTGCGAGGAAACCAGAGAGTATTATGTTAGCATTTTAGTTGCACTTTTGCTGCGGCTTTGGCTCAAGAGAGCAGGCTTTCCTTGAGGAATGCTCTTTGTTCCTACTGAAGTTTGTGGACTTCAGCTCTTCTAGCCACCATTTCTGGATATATGAAGCACAAGAGAAAACTCAGAGAATTTGCTACCCTGTTGTTCCCTAGTTGCCAGGTCCCCAGGCAATTGGCCTTTGCTGTACTTTTCAGAGTCCTCGTCTATTTAGGAAGAATTGAAGGAAGTGTGTCTATTCCATTTCAATCCTGAACCAGATGGTCCAAATCAATTTTAATAATTAAGACTTCATTTGCCATAGGAGAAAACGGATTTATTTCATGTGTTACTTTGTCTTTCTCTGCTTTGCTTTCCTAACTATTCAAGGTTGGCTTAGAAACTGTTCTCTTGGGGCCAGCACTGTGGCGAAGCGGGTTAAAGCCCTGGCCTAAAGCACCGGCATCCCATATGGGCACTAGTTCTAGTCCCAGCTGCTCCTCTTCTGATCCAGCTCTCTACTTTGGCCTGGGATAGTAGTGGAATATGGCCCAAATCCTTGGGCCCCTGCATCCATGTGAGACACCCAGAAGAAGCTCCTGGCTCCTGGCTTCATATCGCTGCAGCTTTAGCTGTTGCAGCCATCTGGAGAGCGAACCAGTGAAAGGAAGACCTCTCTCTCTGTCTCTACCTCTCTCTGTAACTCTTCTTTCAACTAAATAAATGATTCTTAAAAAAAAAAAAAAAACAGTTCTCTCATTAAATAACCTCATGAGGTCACCACTACCAGCTGTGACAGAGTTTGAACCATTCCCAAATTAATAAGATCTTGTCTGTAGTCCATTTACACAAAAGATACAGACAAAATGAGTTGATAAGTACTGATCAATTTCCCAAAGAGATATCCAGGTCTTATTTGGTGCTACTATTTTATTGGGACTTTTTATAGTAAATGATTAATCCAAACTTATTAGTTAATAATATTATAAAGCCAAATTTTCCAGTCTCTTCACACTATGGATTCGTGTCTTCAACTATCCTCCTCTCTTCTCCTAAGCACTCCTATCTAAGAGGCTCATGTGTAGCATCAATATTTGAGTAATTAAAATTATGTTGATTTAGCCCGAAATTGAGCAAGGACTTGAATTAATAGTCATTGGGGGGTCTAATACACACTAGAATTTTTATATGTACTGTCTAATTTATTCCTCAAAATAAAGCCATGATATTTATCTTACCAATGAAGCCATTTCAAGGTCAAACAGTTAGGAAAATTCAACCTGGGGCTTAACTCCTGCTGTAAGAATAAAGATATCCAACATTCTATGAATCATTGGCATACCACCAGATCAATTAAGGGAGTAGTACTCTTTTTTTTTTTTTTTTAAGGGAAAGAGATCAGGACAGAAAATATTACCAGATATTTTCATGAAAAGAGAATGTATTGTTTCATGAAAGCAAGAGTTTGTTTCTTTTTGACATACATTTTTTAATCTCATATGTGCACTGAGTCATAATGTATAAAGTGTTTTTCATAATGTGGTTGACAGGCAAAGAAGTCTGAGGTTATTGTATTAGGTGACCTACTGAAATACTTCCCAGCCCTCATCTAAGTGTTATTATTTACCATACCCATAGATACTTTTCCAGGAAATTCCAAAATTCCTTATGAGCAAAATTTATTTTATAAAACCCCAAACTTGCAGTGATGAAAAAAAATCTCAGGGTTAGAACAGAAAGTAGCTATTTCCATGGCAAAAGTCATGCTCACATATAACAACTCTTGCTGTTCATGATTATGTGTGTGTGTGTGTGTGTTTTGTATATTTTTCTAGTAAGAGTATATTTTGCCATTTGGTTTTTTTCTACTTCCCACAAAATTCTAAAATAAGATTATATTACAGTCAGTTTCACAATAAGATGAGAATTAGACATTTAAAGTACAAAGCAACATTAACTCCTGGTAGTTAAGACAGCAAATTCTGGAGGTAAATAGGCATATTTCAAATCCAGGTTTTGTCGCTCAGAATTCTGGGCGGTTTATTACTCAATTTCCTTATAAGCAAAATGGTAATACTAGTAGTGAGTAATTCATTGTCATAGTGTAGAGGTGAAAATAATTTATACATATAGAGCTATTAACAAAGAATTTGCCTTACAGCAAAAACCTAATAACTGTTAACTATTAGTCTATTATTTCTAAAGTAAGACATTTATAGAAAGCAGCAACTCCAAAAGGAAGTCTTAAACTATTACATGCAGGAAATGAACGCCTTTGCTTTCATATTACATTTGTTAAATTGCCCTATTCTCAGAATACTAAACATTGGATTAGCATTTTCTAAGTTTCACACCATAAATAATTATTGACAAATTTTGCATAGATAACATGAGAAGCAAATCTTGATATTTTAGTTTTTTATCTCTTCATATTCAAGTGGCCATGGTCATACAAACCAGTCCTCTCTGTAATATGCCTAATTCTAGTTTAACTGGTATAACTGTCGAATCAAGAGGCAGAAATTATATAGCAATGTTGAACATAAACCCCCAGAACTAGGGCTCCTAAATCAGGTTTTATGAAAATGGGACTGAAACATCTGAGCACATTTTGATTACAGAACATTTGATTTTGCAGGACAACCAGGAGCCACCCACATTCCCAATGCAGAAGGGCTCCCTGAACCTCCTGAGACAGAAATGGGAATCCAGTGATTACCAGAGGAGCGAGCATTGTCCCAGGGGCAGTCTGTGTAGGTTCTTCCAGCCTCAGGAAAGGAAGCTGCTTGAGCCCAAAGTAGAGGCCATGTCAGTAACTGAAGTTCCAGATGCCCCAAGCCTGCTCTGCAGTTCAGGGGAAGAGAAATTGGGCTTGGAGCCTGAAAAGAAAGATCATGAGGACAAGGATAACAACTGTAGGGAATGTGGCCCGCCTGAAGTGCTGAAGGAAGACACCCTGATCGGTAGGCGCAGAATTGAGCGCTTCTCCATTGCCCTTGATGAACTCAGGAGTGTGTTTGAGATTCCAAAGAACAGCAGCAGACCAGCTGAGTTTGGCCGAAAGGTAAGGAGCCATTGGCTGGGAGCCTGAGTCTGCAGTTGACTGGGTAGGGAACTTCACTAGCCTGTTGTTTATTTGTAAACATGGGATGTTCCTTTTCTCCTCACCTTGTCGTCATGCAGCAATCATGTAACATGTAACACCATGTGAAGTGTGACAGCCTCTATTGGCTTCCTTGATAGTCTGCTGCAATGGGGACTTGATTTCCTTCCACTCCCACAAAAACAATTCTGATATGTGGTCTTATGTTGATGGTTCTTTATGTACATTCTTTGTTTCCATAACTAGGCCTAAGCTCCTCCAAGGCACAGTTTCTCCCCTCTCTTTCTAACTCAAGCATCTAAAAAATGGTAATATTTTTAGCCAGAGCTCAGTGAGGTCTGTAGAAAAAAATATGAAATTTTTTTCTTTTCCCTTGAATTTTTCATAATTTTAATCCATGAAAAATCTGACAACACAGGGCAAAAACAAAATTTATTGTCCTACATACACAGTTGAAGATGCAAAGGAGGGCCAGGTGGTTGAAGCTTTAATAGCTTTTTGAGCTGCAGGATGAAGCAGAAGCTTGAGGCTGCTGAGTTTTGGACATTGGCAATCTATGTGAGATTGAGGGGAACTCGTCACAGATGCAGTAAGTCTCCCAGGCAACAGTCATAAGGAGGCCACCTATGGTATCCTCTGTCTGTTTCAGGTGTCAGACCCCTAAACTTTCTTTCTATGCAAGACCTTTCCTAGACAGACAAGGAGGTGTCAGAACCTGGTTCTATAGATCAATGTTTCTTTGTACAAAAAGTCTCCTGTGTCTTTGCAGGTCTCCAGTTTCTCTAACTTACTAACTCAAAATGTGTCAAATATATTTGAGTGGGACATTTTAATCTTTGTTGGGACACATGGGAGTGACATAGAAAAATGAAGGCTTTGGGACCACAGTTATCTATGTTTTAATCCTAAAACCTGTCACATCTCAAGCTGAATGACACTTAACCTTGCAAATACAAGCATCTAAATCTTCTGTTTTACAGGCGGTTTTTGAGAATGATAAGTAATCTACTTAAACCACCAAATGTACAGTCTAGGTGATTTTGTGGCAGATGACGGTCATGCATCAGTGATTCCAGTACACTATAGCGTCATATATCAACTATGTCTACCAGCTAAAGGGGAAATTTATTCAAATGTAGAAGACAGGGAAAGCAGCATTGTTAAGTAGCATCACATTCATACTTATATGATCAGTTAAAAGCAACTACTGGCTGGCGCCGTGGCTCAATAGGCTAATCCTCCGCCTTGTGGCGCCGGCACACCAGGTTCTAGTCCCGGTTGGGGCGCCGGATTCTGTCCCAGTTGCCCCTCTTCCAGGCCAGCTCTCTCCTGTGACCAGGGAGTGCAGTGGAGGATGGCCCAAGTGCTTTTGCCCTGCACCCCATGGGAGACCAGGAAAAGCACCTGGCTCCTGGCTTCGGATAAGCACGATGCGCCGGCCGCAGCACGGCGGTCATTGGAGGGTGAACCAACGGTAAAAAGGAAGACCTTTCTCTCTCTCTCTCTCTCTCTCTCTCTCACTGTCCACTCTGCCTGTCAAAAAAAAAAAAAAAAGCAACTACTACTTCAACTCGAATTACTTTAATTTATTACACTTATTAGGCCCCTACATAAAAGATGCTATAGTTGAATTTCATAAAGAATTAATAAATGATCTCAGGTTTTCATGGGGAAGAAAACTTAATACTTTGCTTCTTTTTAACCTAATGACAATTAGCAGGGAGGCTCATAGTCTTACTCTTGTTAATGGCTAATTAGCCTTCATGGAAGGCATTATAGCAATGGAAAAGTGCAAAACTAAATTATTTCATGAATACTGCTTCAATTATTCCTACTGATAAATTTGTAACAGTTAGTCTGTCCTTCCTGAATATCAAGTAAAACAATAGTTGATTTAATGAAAACAAGGGATATATAGTTATATTCATGAAGTTATGCTGGAACAAGAGGATATCTCAAGAAATATAACCTAGGGATGATGTTTAATATGAAGCTATTCTTTTTTTTTTTCATTTTTATTCCACAGATGCAATCCTTTTTGTTTATATTTTTATAATATCTTTCAGCTACATATATAGTGATTAGAAAACACTCCAAGTAGATATCACAATGGCATTTTTATCATTGCAAATTAAGAAAAGTGAGACAACAGAAAAATTTCCATTCAATCTCTGTTGACTTTAGAGTTATACTTTTGAACACATACTCATGAAAATTGACAAAATATATGGCAAATGTAGAAACAGACATCCATATAAATTGACATAACCTACTCCCAGTCTAGATGAGATATGAATGCTTAAATTCAATAGTGAGAAAACGAAGCTTTAATAATTGCTTCTGGTTGAAATGTGAGAACATGGCTAATCACCTAGGTATATAGCTTGCCATATAGTACTCACAAAAATAATCATAGAATGAATCATATATATGGAAGCCACTATTTGGCTTCCCAAATGAGACTTGGTTAGTATATTTAATACATTGTGCTTTAAGTACAATGTATATAATGACCTTTCCCTAAACGTACAAGATGTAGACCATACTTTATTATAAATCTTGTAGAGAATGGCAGTTCTCCTACAAAATTAAGAAGTAAATTAATATGCCATGTATTCATTAATATTTGATATGTAACAAACCATTCAAAAATTAGTGGCTTTAGACAAGAATTATTTATTATTTTTCATTTTAAAAATTTATTTGAAAGGCAGAGAGACAGACACATAGAGATCTCCCATCCACTGGTTCACTCCTGAAATGCCCACAACAACAAAATCTGGGCCAGACAATAACCATTAGTCCAGAAATCAACTTAGATCTCCTACATGGATAGCAAAGACCCGAGTCCTTGGTCCATTACTTGCTTCCTCCAAGATGTGTGTTAACAGAAAGTTGGAACTGGAAGTGGAGTCAGGGTTCAAACACAGGCACTCCAATATGGGATGCAGCTGTAATAACCATGGTGCTAAATGCAGGTCCTAACCTGTGTTGTTGTTTAGAAATCTCTGATAAACTTGGCAGTTCATCTAGTCCTATCTACTATATACCGTGAATCTATGGTCTACTACCAAGTCAGCCGGAGTCTGATTATACTGGAGTGGAGAAAAGCTAGGACAACTCAGCTTTGTACCATGTGATCCCTTCCATAGGAGGTTGTCCAGATTTATAAGCATGTCACAGGAGTTTCAAGAATGAAAAGGGTAATTTAGGAAGCTTCTGGAAGCCTTGCTCAGATCTTGCCCAGCGTTACTTCTCTGTATTCTATTGATTGAAGCAGTCAGAAAACAAAGCAGAATAACAGTGTGCTGAACTAGATTTCACTTCTTAATTGGAGGAACTGCAAACTCACATTTGCAAAGGGGAATAGTTACTATAAGAGGAGCAATTACTGCCATTTTAAGAGCAATCTACCACAGGTAAGTTCATCTAAATACAGTCAAGAATCAGGATGGTTAACACAAACATCATAAAGCAGTTCTCACACGAAAGGATCCATGCTGACAACTGTATGTGGATAAAACTCATGTCTTACACTCAAGTAAATTCACTAAATGATTGCACTGATGATAATTACTGTGGTAGGAACAGAAACATTCCAAAGAAATACACCGTAATTACCAGAAATATGGTACCTGACCTGGCGAAAGTCGCATTGCAGATATGATTAAGTTAAAGATATTGAAATGGAAACATTTTCCTGAATTATCCCAGACAAAGCCTGAGTAATTATTAAGTGTGGGGAGTGGTGCAGGAATTTCAGGAAGAGAATCAGAAAAAGACAAGAAGCAGAAGCTGTAGTGGCTCTGGGCCAGGACGTAAGGAATGCAGGCAGAATCTGGAATAGTTCAGGAAACAAATCCTCTGTTTCAAACACAGGCACTGCAATATGGGACGTAGGTGTCACAACCATGGTGCTAAGACAGGGACATTTTAGAAGGGACAAGGAACACAGACCTGCGGATGCTTGGGATTTAGCTTGTGAAATAATGTCAGATATTGACTTCAGTTCTGTAAGATAATAAATATCTGTTGCCTCATGCCACCATGTTTATGGTAATTTTATTACAGCAGCTCAAGAAATTATTACCCATTACAGGGTCTTTAAACACTGTTTGAAAATACATGTATAATACATTATTTGGAGTTTTCTCTCTGATCTTTCCAGAACATATTCCCAAATTTCAGAATCAACTCTCTGACATTCTCTTTATAGTTTGTTCTATTTGTCAACATTAATACTTGTATTCTTAAGTAATCAAGAAATATTGATAGATCTTCATAAGTCTTAGTTTTAAATAATCAGTATTGGTATGCCAACCACAGTCATACAAAAGGGCGATTTACCAGAACCAAGGGGTTTGTTTAAAAAAAATCAAGAAAGAAATACTATAAAGCAACACATACACAAACAGGTTGTGGGATGCAGCTGGTTTAATTCATATTTTATTCTATGGATAATGTAGGTTTTATGGAGTGTGTGTGTATATGTGTGTGTGTGTATACATGTGTGTGTGTATATATATATATATAGTTTTTAAATAAAATGAACTTAAGTCTGGCTAGCCAGAGTTTAGTCCATTTGGAGCCAGACAGAAAGCTGTAAGTCTCTTTTTCAAAGCTGACCCCAGGATAGATTAGTGAAGTCACTAAAAAGTCCCCTTAAATGATCCCTTTGACTTTCAGTATGTCCCCATAGCTAATAAGATTTGTGATTTAGTTAGCTAATTAATTTTGCCTTTGTTGCATTCATACCTTTTACATACCAAATGGTAAAACACTTGATTGTCATTGTAGATTGCTTAATGACTTCTTATATTCTCAGTTCATTGTCATGATCTTTCCCCAAAACCTCACTCACTCAAGCAATTGGATTGTGTCTCCCTAATCCCCAATATTGAAGATTTCTAACTTACTTAGACATCAGCCTGTTGACAATGGCCATTCAAACTTGAGCTAAATTGGATAAAAAACAGGAAGCACCACCA